CACACACTGCTGGATCATGTTTAAGTAATCGTCTATTAGGACTCCCCCTCACAGTTACTTTTTTGAAGGAGGTTTTACCTAATCTCTACTTGTATCTTTGGTTTTTCCTGCCTAGGTGTAAAACATAGTTTTTCTCTACATTGAATTTCATGTTGTTGGATAGGGCCCATTGTTCAAATTTATCAAGATCTTTTTGGATCCTGAGCTTGTCTTCGGGGGTGTTGGCTATTCCTACCGGCTTAGTGTCATCTGCAGATTTGATGAGTTTCCCCTTCTATTCCCTTATCTAAGTCATTTATGAAGATATTGAATAGTACTGGGCCTAAGATGGAACCTTGTGGTACCTCACTGCTTACTTCCCTCCATGTAGATGTAGTACCATTAAGGACTACTCATTTTGTACTTGTTGATATGCTGTCTACCCCACATTTTTCTACTTTACCAAGAAGTAAAGTAAATCTTTTTTTGAAGATAGGAACCTCATCAGTTCTTTTTGAATCCTCTGGTAGTTGCCTGGTGCTCCAGTATTTTTAAAGATATGGTACAGTAGTTTTGAGATGACATCTGCCAGCTCCTTCAGAACTCTGGAATGTAATCCATCAGGTCCCAGTGATTTATATTCATCAAAGTCAGACAGGTGTTCTCTTACCATTTTCTTGCCTATTTTAATTTTTATTTCTAGTCTGTCTTTTACAGTTACGTTTTTGACAGGTTGGGATATAGTTTCTTTTTGCGCGAAGACTGATGCAAATAATGAGTTAAGCAGCTCTGCTTTCTCTGTACTGCCTGTTACTTCCTTGCCATCTTCTCTCTTTAGTGGGCCGACTGTTTTCTTGACTTGTTTCTTGTCATTTATATGTTGAAATAAACCTTATTGAAAGTATTATGAGATCAGGGAGGGGTTGGTAGGTTATCTTTATTAAATATTCTGTTCATTGTTATTTCTAGTGATCGGGTCCATATCTATTAATTTTAGTAGATGATATGGTGGTGAACTCAGAAAAGATCCAGTTCCATTCAGGATATATATCTGATCCTTCTTTCTTTTTCTCTCTGCCCTCCACTATTGGCTGTATTCCACATCTCTCATTCCTTAGTTTGTTGGTATCCAAAGAGCATGAAGTATTTTTAGAAGATTCACTGAATCATCATAGCAATTCTTTAATGTTTGAGGTGTAACTGTTAATGATATTAATGTAGATTTTTTAAATTAATAGAATATGCACATTAACTCAGCAAATGAATACAATCTGAATCTTTAATATACTTATCTTTAATATACTTATTTAAAACAATTTAAAATTTCCACTTGAGTCCCTTTCTCTGTAGATTTAGAAAATCTGTAAAAATGCATCTTTCTCTATAGGCTGTTTAATCTTTATATTGTAACTTTTTTTTTTAATTAAAAAGTGTTAGCTACAGAGTGGTCAAGTCTATTAACCAATAGATAAAGTTTGCCCATTCTTGTTTTCAGTCTTATTTTCACCAGCCTCACAGTGGAGAATTACACTGGAAACATAGTATGGAGCCTGAAAGATGTTTTGCAAGAATTTAGACTGCCACAGTTTCAAAATTCTGAGTAATTGCTGCACACAGTACAAGAATTGGAAGCTCACCTTGCTTCCAATTTAGGGCAATAAAAATAAAAAGGGGGTACACATTAGTTAAAAAAATAGACTTATTCAAAAGCTGAATTTTAATCATTCTGAGCTACATAGTCCACATGAGCACTTCTCTGCTGGAGTCTGAAAAAGATACTAAAGTATTTTAAATATAACTTTTCTTTGATTTCATGACTGTTTAGTTGCCACCTATGGATTCTAGGAAGTTTAGGAAAGATGAAAGTTTTTGTCTTCGCATAGTTGATTTCTAATTCTAATTACAGTGAATGGCAAGTGATTTTAGGGCACATTTCAATCCCATCAAGATCTAAGCAGGATCCCATCAAGATCTAAGCGAGATTCCATATTGGCATATGGAAACAACAACCTATGAGCTAACTTGCAGGGAAAAAAGTCAGGAATTGTTCTGATAGACAGCAAATAATTTATATCCAGGTAGTCCTCAACTTATAACTATAATGGAGTCTGGAATTTCTTTCTTTGTTGTATGTCATGACAGTTCCAAGTTGAGGCACCCACATGACTGACCCGATTTTATGACATTTTTTTGCAGCAGTTGTAAAGCAAATGCCACGATTGCTAAGTGAACCTATTGTCCATAATGGGTGTTTTTTACCACAAATTGGAAGTAAAAGCCAGTATAGGTAGTCCTCAACTTATGATCACAACTGAGCCCAAAATTTGTTGTTAAGTGAGACATTTGTTGTGAATTTGCCTTATTTTATGACCTCTCTTACCGCAGTTGTTAAATGAATCAGTGGAATTAAGGTAGTAATATGGTTGTTAAGTGAATGCAACTTCCCCATTAACTGCTTGTCAGAAGATCACAAAAGGTGATCGCATGACCCTGGGACATCGCAAACGTGATAAATATGACTCAGTTGACAAAGGTCTAAATTTTGATCATGTGATCATGGGACTGCTGCAACAGTGAAAACTATCATAAATCACTTTTTCAGTGCTGTTTAACCTTAAATGGTCACTAAATGAACAGTTGTAAGTAGAGGACTACCTGTACTGGCAAAAGAAACTTTGTAAATTGTGGTCACGTGACCATGGAATGCCGCAAACAACCATAAATGTGGGCTGGTTGCCAAGTACTCAAAATGTGAATATGTGACTGCAGCCCTCCTCCCTCCGGTCATTGGAACTTTGAAACTGGGTCATAAGTACCTTTTTGAAGTCCATCGTAACTTTGAGTGGTACTAAGCAACCAGTTGGAAGTCAAATACTACCTGTAAATATTAAGTAATATTAAGTAATACTTAATTCACTTTGTCAAAATGATTGCTTGAAATTATATGAAGGGAGAAGAGAAGCCTGGTGTATCACTGGAGAAAAACCCATCTCAAGACTGATTGGGCATTGATAAGAGTGCCTGGTTTGAGCCAACACATCAGCAATACAAGTAGCAACAAACTAAATATTTTGTATTCTTACTGAATCTGCTCAGTGTTGCTTACTAGAACCTTCAAAGGTGACTTTAAGGGAATACTTCTAATTTTAGGGAATAATATTTCTTTTCAGGGAATAATCATGAACATCTGAAGGGCCTTGTGACAAATTCTTGCAGTCATTTTATAATCTGTCCAGAGTTACTGTAACAGGCAATGGGCAGCATATAAATTTAAATACTTTTTTAAAAAGCAGGTGAAACTGTTCAGATTTCAGCAAAGCTTGGATAGTAATGTAAACAGTTACAATGTAGATGAGTAGAGCTAAATCTTGTGAAATAATCTGTATCAGTGTGAATCTGTGAGATTTGAGGAAGCATATGGAGCAAATTATAATGTTACCTTCCCTATTTCTCAACTGAATTTTAGCCCCTCATAATACCTCAATAATATTATCTGATAGCAACTGAGAAACAACCATTTTCGATCACTAGACCAGCTTTAAAAATGATTTTTTTAAAACTTATGTTTATACATTTTTTAATGTACCTACATTTACCTCCAGGAAGACTCCAAGGTCCCTTCCAACTCTTGTTCTGTTATTCCTAGTGGTAGGCCTTTTCTTTTTCTTTAGAAAAATTGAATCTTATTAAGTGATAATGAATTTTATTTTTTTTAATCTAGTTTTATGTACAGAAGTGCCAGAAAATCATTTTCAAATAATTTCACAGTGCTTTTTATAATCCATATTATATCCTTTCTGTAATTGTGTGAGAAAAATTAGTATTTCTATTTTAAACTCTGAAATCAAAAATGCTGTGTCCCCCCCCCAAAAAAAATCAACCCAAAAAACTTAAACCTGGAATTCTGACTCCCATATATCCTAACCAATTCAGTGTCTGTTAAAGTATTTCTACAGGTATACTGTCAAGAGCAAAAAACAGTTTATTGCACATGTCATATTATCCACTGATACTGTTTTCATTTTCAGAGAAAGAATTATATTTAAAATCGATTTCTGTATGTAGTAATTTAATTATTAAAGCCAATAGAGTCAAATAAGATTTTAGATGGTGAATGATACAGCATGTTTATATTTGCTGTTTATTTCCATTGTTTGCTACTTTGTAGGGACAAAACCAATAAGCTACAAATAGCATAAAATAAATTATATTTTTTGGCTAATTGACACTGGGCTGAATTCATTTGGTGTAATTCCATTAACAGAATACTCTTCGATCCTTGGAAGATTTCTATCTGTGGAGTAGGAAGAAATTGTTTGTTAGCAGTTCTCTGTAGTGCTTTTGAACAGTAACACACTGTTTCAAAGAGTCCCTTCAACTCACTAGAGTAAATCAAGAAATGGTAATAAAGGGAGTAGAATTGACAAGAGGAAATTGACAAAAATAATTTATTTAAACCATTTTTAACCACTAGAGTGATATAATTAGTCAGACAGTTAACCAGCATATTTTATTCTCATAACTTGGGTATCATTTAGCTTGGAAAGTCTGAGAATATGTCAAGCATGATCAACCTTTTGGCTTGCCTACACTTCATTGACTGAAGAGGAATTGTCTTGGGCTGCATATAAAATATATAATATAGTTAATGTATATAACTGCACATAAGTTAACATTAAAAGCTTATGATCTTGTGAGTCCAGGGCTATGTGCATTCTGCTGGTTGGACATGTCTGCATTATGATGAACATACCTGGTAACAAGGAGATAAAAATCAGGAACCAGTGGATTTAAATTTAAATGGTTGCATAATTTCAAAGATTTGCATTTGTTTTTAATAATTTGCAAATCAGATTCTTTAAAAAATCTGAAATTCATAAGGGTGTTTCCAGTATCTTTGTGATCTTTCTGATTGTCTGCCTATCTATCTATTTATCTATCTATCTATCTATCTATCTGTTTTTATATATAATGCATTTGAGGTATTTAATTTTGGTTGAATCCTTTTTTTCCCTTTTCAGGATGTTGTTTGGGGATTAAACTCTTTATTTACTGTAAGTAACAACCTCACTGAATGAGTGTGCATTTTGATTAATCTGCTAATATAATAAACCGGCCTTAACAGAACAGATTAGTCCTCACAATTTCCAAAACCTGTATTAGTCTATTGATTTAAAATCTACAAGTTTCTTGTAACTTTTGAAAATTAACACATTTATCATGGCGTAAATATCTTTGGACTAGAGTCTCCTTTATTAGATTTATCTGATAAAGTGGGCTCTAGTAAAAACAAAACAAAACACCAATAGCCTCATTTTTGCTCCCTCCTAAATCGGTAAACTAATAAAAATGAAGGCATGATTTAATCTGTTTTCAACACATATATACATACACACCCCAGTAAGTATAGACTTATATGTTGGCACCAATACAAAGCAAAACACCCATATCTAATTGAAAGCTGAGCTCTGGCCAATTATGCAACATACAGCAATAGCAACAAGACCCTCAGAGCTTTATCACCAGAGATTGACCTTGGCTTTCCTCCCAGGTAGCTTATTCTTCACCACAGTCTGACTCATGGTGATGGTTCTGTCCCCAGTTGCATGTTTCATGGAGCATTTCAAACCTTTGGCTTTGGTAAGAGCTTTACCTGACCTCTTCTTAATAGCTTACCATCTGCAGGCAACTCCTACTTATTTCTCCCAGATTGTTTTGTTTTTTTTAACCACATCTCTGTAATTTCAATAATCTTAAAATTCCCTTTAAATTTTATTTTAAATAGTTACTTTTCTTTCCAGTCTTTCAGTTAGTGTTTTGGGTTCACTTACTGTAGTTTTACTTTGATTTTTGCTGCTCTGCTTCTTTGCCATTAAGCACTTTGATTTTAGTGACCTATAAGGACCCCTCCTGCAAGTATGCTCAGTAATCACATATTAGTAAACTGATCACCCCTTATACTTATTCTAGGAATAAGTGCAATAGAGTTCCAGTTTAGCTGCTCACTAGGTCACTTTGAGCAGGAGGCAGTTGATACCCATGCAAATAGATCTATTTCTGACTGTTACTGCTGGCAAGGAGAATGTAAAAAAAAATGTTGTCCCTTAGCATTATTCTTCTTATGCTTGGAAATATATCTGTGCAGTGCAGGGGTGATTGTGGTTCCAGTATCTACTTTTGGATCTTAATTTCCATATTGGATTGAATAATCCTTCATTGGTGATATTATGGAAATTGACCTTTGTGATCTTGATCTTACCCACCTAACATAGCTTTTTAAAAAGGCTTCTGAATAAAATTATCTGTTATGCCATTTTTAAGCATATTGAAAATACTGAGTTAATGAAACGGACTGTACAGGTCACCCTCAATTTATTTCCACAATAGAGTCCAAAATGACTGTTGCTAAGCAAGACAGTTGTTAAGTGAGTTTTGCCAATCAATTGCCAGCGAACCAGTTGCCAAGCATCTGTATTTTGCTCATGTGACCATGGGGATGCTACAGAGGTAGTAAGTATGCAAAGTGTGAAAAACAGTCACTTTTTTTGGTGCTATTGTAACTTTAAATGGTCACTAAGTGAATGATTGTAAGCCAAGGCTTTGATGAGTCCTGCACCTTTTTTTTTAAACACTCCCTCCCTAACTCTATTATTATAGTCGCCCACAATCACAGGATTTGAAGCAACAATACGTAGAGGCAAAGAAAGGTGGAGGCTGAATGGAACATTAAAATGTATTCTATTGATTCATTCTTAGGACATCTTCTCCTTTTCTCCAGTCTGTTGGATGACAGGAGGCAAATTGCTGCTGTTTTGAGATGACAAAGCAACAAATTAATAAATGTATCATGCAGATGGATGGCAGTATAAAAGCAATAGTGAATTTTATAGTGTTTCATTGCTATTCAAGAGTAGGCAGAATGAACACAAAACACATGCAACATACCTCAATAAATAAAGAAAACCTGTATAAGATGACATTTTAAAATATATCCTGAAGCTCTAAATGTGTACAGTGCATACAATGCACAGACTACACATACAAACATATACTAAAATTCAACAAACAAAACAAACATGATAGTACAGGTAATCCTTGACTTACAACCATTTATTTAGTGGCTGTTTGAAATTACAGTGGCACTGAAAAAGTGACTTATGACTGTTTTTCACACTTATGACTGTTGCAGTATCCCTTTGGTTACATGATCAAAATTCATACACCTGGCAAATGGCGTGTATTTATGACAGTTGCAGTGTCCTGGACCATGTGATCACCTTTTGCAACCTGACAGAGTCAGTGTGGAAGCCAGTGTTGTTCAACAACCATGATAGTAACTTAACAAGTGCAGCGATTCATTTAACAATTGTGGCAAGAAAGATTGTAAAGTGGGGCAAAACTTACTTAACAATTGTTTTCCTTGGCAATGGAAATTTTGGCCTCAATTGTGGTCTTAAGTCAAGGACTCCATGCAGTCTGTATTATAAAATCAGAAATTTAATAGCATTATGCTTGTATAATACACATATGCCATTGCCTTTACATATGGCTGCAAGAAAACCCACAAGCTTGAAATACAATATATAACCTACATAAAAACCACAACCCATTAAATCTAATACAGGTAGTCCTCGACTAACAACTGGTCAAAGTTATGACAGACCCAAAGAGGGGACATGGACATGTGTAAATGAATACATGGCTTACAAATATAACCATCCCAAGTAGGTGCAATACATATATATGACCTCTTCATGTGCCCATATACACATCATCATACATACACATACAGATACACATCATTGTATCTGCCCAGTCACACATGCACACAACCTCCATGAGCCCTATAATTAGATGACTAATTTTGCAGCAGCACATATAACCATAATGACCGGGCTCCATTAGAATTGTATGTTGAGGACTACCTGTATATTACCTTTCTGTTAGATCTGCAGCTGTTTGTGGTCTTGTTGGCCTGAGTTCTGTTATCCAGATATGCAGAAGCTTAACTTGGCACTGCCCTGGGGTGGACTGAGCAGGACTAATAGAAGCTCCCACTCAATTCACTGCAGCAAGATCAAGAGACCCTCACTGCTGCAGTTAAGATGATGCAGCAGGCTTGTGCCTTTTGCCCAGGATAGCATGCAGAGTCCTATCCCAGCCTTGCAGTTGCAGCCAAGCTGCTCTGACCTCAGAACTTCCTGCACACAAAAGATTTAATTCACTCCCTCCTGCTTTGAAAAAGTTTTAAGTTCTCCCCTCCCTCCACAAAGGCTTCATTTCTGCCCACCCTCCAGAAAAGATTTATCAGTTGAATTTCAGATTGCACAAATTTGTTAACTTTATTTAAAATCCAGTTTTTAAATTAATAATTATTAAAATTTAAGAAGTTCAGATTACACCCAGAGAAGAAGGAAATAAATAGGGAAAAATGAAAAAGAGAACTAACTGCTCTTTGTATGATGCTTTCATAACAATATCAGATTACAAATAGAAAAGAAAAATGCTTAAAAAATATTGATTGAAATTTTCAGTGGGTAGCAGGTTGTATCACAGTAGCGCTTAAAGGTTTTGTCACCACAAAAATGTTTTGGCTCATTTTCCTCAAGTAAATAAATGAATAAGCATAATTTATGCAGAAATACTGAAACTCAAAAGAGTTCATAACCCTTCAGCACCACTCTACAGTTCTCAAGCATGTATGTATGGGTCCATTTTGGTGTAGTGGGTTAAGGCACCAAGACACAAATCGGGAGGCTCCGAATTCTAATCCAGACTTAGCCATTTGGGTGACTTTGGGCCAGTCATTCTCTCTCCACTACTTCTGAATGGCAAGCCACTTCGGAAAAATATTGCCAAGAAAACTACAGGGACTATTGCCAAGAGTCAGAAAGGACTTAAAGACACAACTTTTAAGCATGTAAGTGGCACACTATTCTACTTTCTACGCTTTAAGAATTATGTAAACATATTAATTTATTGCTATTATGTTATATTTGCAATCTACTCAAAGTGTATTGTGACTCACAAATGTATACTTGGAGCAGAAAAGCTGCACAAAACATTTTTCCACACATGGCAGAAAGGGGAAAATTAGAAATAAGAAAACATTGTCTAGGAGAAGCAGAAAGTGAATTTTAACCTGGTCCCATGGATGCTTTGCTATCCCCTACTTCCCCCTTTGTAATCAGTTTGCTTCTGTGTTCATTTTGAATTACTCCTGTGTTACATCCAAATTTAACTTAGCTATAGATAGAATTCCCTATCTTAGTACCCCTATTAATCTTCCCAACCATGCAACATTAGTTACTACTGGATAGATATTGCTTGACTTGCAGGCTTTGATCCTTTCCTTTCCATATACTGTATACTGGTGAAATTATTGTCCATAGACTGTATAGGTAAACTAATAACATGCATAGAATTTGTTTCTACTGATGTTTGCTTCCTGAAACTCAAGTAAACCCTTCTAGAAGTATTTATTATAAGGCTCTGAAAGACAATAACAAACAATAATTAGACCTTAAACTTAATCAGTGAGAAGTCAAGAGGCTAATTTATATTTTCATAATAACCAAATGGAGATTATTCAAAATTATCTGAAAGAAACCTGTGCACACATATTTTGGATATCTTAGAAAATATGTATTTTGTTTTAGTTGATAAAAATGGCTGGATCTATATGTATTACACATATATTTCAAGCATTGAGCCATTTGGCTTTAAAATATATCTTATCTCAGTTTGCATTCTTATTCATTGCAACCAAAGTTGGCTATTTTGTATGTGTTGTATGTTTCTTGGTCCCTGTATAAGATACTGATTTTTAGCAAAGGTATGCTCTAGACTTTTTATTACTTATACAGGCAGTCCTCAGATTACAACTACTTATTCAGCAATCATTCAAACTTAAATGATTTTGAACAAGTGGCAATTATGACTGATCCTTGGACTTCTGGACATCGGTGTCTCTGTGGTCACATGATTGCAGTGAACTGAGATTTCTGACATTCCCTGCTGGCTTCTCACAGAAAAGTCAATGGGGAAGGCATTAAGTCTCAGTCACATCAAGTCCACATCAATTAATGATCTGTGTGGTCCTCGTTTAATGGTAACAACCAGGACCACCTTTATCATTTAATGCAGTCACTTCGACCACACCATGACCACTGTGACATCATTTAGCGACAGCAATTCCAGTCCCAATTGCTGTCATAATCTGATATGATGGAAAGTGCACCTGTAGGAGCAGTGGGGAAGACCTTTGGCAACACAAAGCTTTCCCACAAAGCAGCCCAGATTACGAGACTACATAATCCTGAGTTGGGTGGGAGATGGGGCTCAAAGTAACCACACCGTAGAATCTCTGAGGATGTATCTATTAGGTTAGAATAGTTGGGCAAGATTCTGTCCATCAGGTGTAAACAAATAAAGAATTGTACCTGATTGGATCTCACTGTCTCATTTCTGGGCTCGGGCCGTAATTAAATCTATAATTTTCTTACCTACTAGATATATCCTGAGGGGTCCTAGGGTATTGCTAAAGGTCTACCTCACTGCTCCTGCAGGTGTACATTCTATCACACCTGAGCGCTACCTGTAGTTTCTTCATTAAGTAACAGTTGCTTTACTACGATTTATCTATTTTTCCAGACAAATGTATCATTCCTTTATTTTGAGTACCATCTGGCATGTTAGAACACCTAAAAGTCAAATTATGTAGTCAAGGTGTGTATTTTATTTCAGGTCAAATATATTCTACATTGTCCTTCTGCATCTGAAATAAATAATATTGTACAATAAAAATGCAGAAGAATCCTATATGATAATGAAAATTACAATCTACTGAGATCTATAAAATCCTGCACAGTTTGCTAACTTAGATCACTTTATTCTACTTGTGTATTTGTGCTTTCTGCCATATAACAGCCCAAAAACATAAGACATGGAATAAAATATGGCCTTTGGGTCCCATAATGTTCTTACAGGGAATACCACATTCCCTCATCAGGATGCATTGCTATCAGGAAAACAACTGAGGAAAAAAGAGACCACATTATTAGAAATTCAGTATAGAAAGTTTATGCTTATTACTATACAACGGGCAGCAAAATTATATTTCCAAAATAAACTTAAAAGAAATAATGTCATTTCTGGCCAAGTAAACCTGGTTTCAAAGTAATTGTGACATTCTAAGGTATTTGTTTATTTGGTGGAATAAATAAAATAAATACTTACAGAAATACTACACGTCGGTATATTTATTTATTTATTTATTTATTCATTTATTTATTTCTAAAATTTATATGCCGCCCAATCCCAAGGGACTCAGGGCAGCGTACAAAATTTAAAACAATAATATGACAATAAAACAATAAAATAAATACATTCATACAGCATGTCCGATCATATCCCGCCCCCCCCCCGGGGACATCAACCCCAGGCCTGCCAGAACAGGATAGTTTTAATGGCTTTCTTAAAGGCCGGCAGGGTGGGAGTAGTTCAAATCTCGGGGGGAAGTTGATTCCACCAGGTCGGAGCCACCACAGAAAAGGCCCTTCCCCGAGGGCCCGCCGGCCGACATTGTCTGGCCGACGGGACCTGAAGGAGGCCCAATCTGTATATTAACACTCTGTATGATTTCCAGCATGAAGTAGTGCAAAAATCTGAGAAACTCATCTAAACCTTGGACAGATAATCTGTTTCTGCCAAAGCCATATTTTCTCCTTAGTGACATAAACTGATCAACTATTTTTATCCCTCATAATTGCTTCTTTGCTCCAAGAATGTTCAGGATTTTTGACATTTTGGCATCTTTTGGCTTTAGCTAAAATTGATTTCAATTCAATATGTGTTTTGGGTAAGCAAATGACCACACTGCTATGCTCCAGCTTAAACTGTCCACCTTTGAGAAGGTCTCCTGTTGGATGTCTCCAATGGATGTTTAATCCATTGGAGAGTTTACTAGTGCAGGTACTAAAGCCTGTCTCCATCTACAACTGTCCAAGGTTGATTGCCATGTTAGGCCCTAGGGGGCCTAGCTGATAATATACATGTGTAAATGAATACATGGCTTACAAATATAACCATCCCAAGTAGGTGCAATACATATATATGACTTCTTCATGTGCCCATATACACATCATCATACATACACATACAGATACACATCATTGTATCTGCCCAGTCACACATGCACACAACCTCCATGAGCCCTATAATTAGATGACTAATTTTGCAGCAGCACAGTTGTTTTGAACATTTTCTTTGTGACTCTGGGCAGCATATAATAAAAAGAAATCATAAACAATTTTAAAAATGCAGCAATTAAAACCCAAAGTTACCAAGAATGGAGTTACTTCCATTATTGGAAAGGATAGAACAGGGATTCCCTGTGATGGGAAGGCCAGGGCCTACCAGGTTACAAGGGGAAGGTATGTCAGGAGGTTAGCAAGCATATGTTCCACAAGTATCACATTGCAAACTCCCAAACTAAAATCACTTTTAGATCTCAATCATTTGAATTGTATTTGTCAGATTTCTTCCTTATTTTTCTACTTATCCAGTTACTGAAGAACTTGTGAGGGTAAAATTAATTTGGTTGCCCTGCTTCCATTCACTCGCTACTCAGCCTTATTAGGTAACAAAGAACTCTAGAGGTACATATTTTGTCCTTTTTGTTTACATTAACATCTTACTAGGCAAATGAAGGTGAATAATTACTACAGGTTGTCTTCAACCTAGCAGCCATTCATTTAATCATTGTTTATATTTACAACGGCCCTGAAAAAAGTGACTTAGAACAAATCTTCACACTTACAACCATTGCAGTATTCCCCCAGTCATGTAATCAAACTTCTGGTGCTTGGCAACTGCCATGTATTTATGATGGTTGCAGCATCCCAGTATCCTGGGATTATCATTTGCAGTCTTCCTAGGGAGCTTCTGACAACAAAGTCAATGGGAGAAGACAGATTCCCTTAACAACCTCATGATTCACTTAACTGTAGTAATTCACTTAACAACCGTGGCAAAAAGATTGTAAAATGGGACATGATTCACTTAATAATTGTCTTGCTTAGCAATGGAAATGTTGGGCTCAATTGTGAGGTAAGTCAAGGACTACCTATATTCAACTCAAATTGCACACTAGCAGTCATGGAGAAATGAAAACTCTGGTCTGATAACTTGATTGTAGAATGTGATACTATTAAACCAAGCCCTTATTTATCTATTCATTCATCCCATCTTTCTCCAAAGAGCTAAAAGACAGTGTACGTTGCACCCATCTTCCCATTTTTCTACACTGGCAATTTATAAAGCAACCCCAAACCTTCTATAGCCCTTGAATATATTCAGGCATTAAATATGAATTTAGTGTCAGTACTTTATTCATATATAAAATATTTAAGCTCATCAGTGAGATTTAAAAGAGCTAATTTTGACAGCCCAACAAAATGTATTTTCCAAAAGATATTTTGATATCACTTCAGTTTGAAATTGGGCTTGTTCAAAGCTGCCATTCAAGAAATAGAGACCCAAACAATCATAACTTACAACAAGCCTTTTTTAAAAACAAACAAACCTTATTTTATGTTTTTTAGGATCTCTTGAATTTTGATGATCCTTTAAATATTGAAGCTGCAGAACATCATTTACGTGACAAGGTGAGTAGCAATGTATTGAAAATTACAATTCTGCTTATTTCTTAAAAATTAATTTGGTAGTTTCCAAAAGGAAAATATGTAAATTAATATTTTCAAGATATTGTGGATCTAAAATGGATTTAAGATTAGATATAAAGAATATACAGCAACCCGACAGGTTGTTGTATACCAAGAATATCAAGCCAACAGACAAGACTGTGGGTATACTTTTGCCTTCTTATTGCAAAAGCATAAAATGTCACTCTACCTATTTAAAACATCAACCACTTTATCCAAATCTTTATTAAAAATATTGAAGACTACACAAGACTGATATGTGGCATCCTACTTGGTATCTATCTCCAGTTTGATGAGAAGCCATCAGTGGGCACTCTGAGTATGATTGAGAAACAGCTACATTATATTCAGTATCTTCTCCAGCACTGGAGATGGATAATCCACTAATGGATAATCCACTTAATCCTCCTGCCCAATCAGACCAAGTCAGCCAAACTTGCCACGCCACGCCTGTCCTGGGCCTGTTTTCCCAGTCTCGACTTGATCTTGCCCAGAACAGAGGTGCGTGTTTGGCTCAGGCAGGTAGATCTTAACCTATTAGTGGATTATCCATTTGTCCTAATAACTTTAATAACTCCCAATACCTTCTAGCCCTCAGAGTAGCGCTGGGATCAGCGCTCCTCTAGAGGACTTTAACTTTATCTAATCCCCATTGGGATTTACAGCAAATGGAGGCTTCCATTTCTCCCTTCCCTTTCCAGCACAGCGCTGGGCCCAGTGCTGTTACAAATCCCCCCCCCCATTCTCCCCAGCTGACCATCAGCGTCGGAGCTTGCGGCTGCAGCTCCAATGGTTTTACAGCGTCTGGGTTAGCCTCGTGCAGGCTGTAGGGTCTCGGATTGCAAATTCTCGCACCGGAGGTTCCCAGCGTTCCAGAAATGCCGCCGATTAGCTGGGGAGGCTGTTTTTACTCCAGTCTCTTTCGGAGAAGCATGCATTCGGTTGGATGAGCGTTTTCAGCCGTTCAGAGCCAGAGGGGGTGAACGGAGCTTGGGATGTGGCTGCCATTTTGCGGGCCACATGGTCATCCCCAGGCCTTGCCAACTGCAAGGGGAGGCGGGGGGTGGGGTGGGGGAAGAAATCTCCACCCAATTTCTGCTTTCGCTAGCCTTCCTTTAAGGGGCATCTCCCTTTTATTGTACAAGCCCCTGGAAGAGATTTCTTTAAGTAGAAGGCCCAGGCCTAGACAGGAACGCCACCGGTTACGGCCGCCATCTTGGAGGCTTCATCATCCTCCCAGGCTGCCATTTTGGAGGCTCCTTGTGCTCCAGCCCAAGGCCTTACTGAGGCCTTTTTTCTGTTCAAGGCCTTTCCCGGGTTCCTTGCATCCAAGGATTCCATGGGATTTCTCTCTTGTCTGTGAAGCAGTATAGAAGTCTAAGTGCTATCGCTATAACATTCCTGGAAACTCCTTTCTGTAGCATTGTCCTTTCCTCTCTCATTCCTTGCATAGGCCCAATTAATTTAATTGGGCCCTCTGGTGTCTCTAGTCCTGGTCACTACCTGGCTAGCTGATTAGCACAGTAGTTCCCAGCCTCTGACTCTGTATTAGTTGCCATTCTTTTAATTTGCTGGCCTGGCAACACAGCAAGCCTCACTAGCAGGCTGCATCTGCCCTCTGGGGGGAAATTATAGCGACTGCAAGTAGGACCGGTCTTTTGGATACCACCGGTTCGGTGACCGGGGGGGGGGGTAGGGCAGTTCTTACCAGCCGTTGCCCTACACCTTTATCAGCCAATTGATCCCTTTTCCAGGGGTATCTTCTCGTGCACCTGAAGTCTTTATATCAGCATGGAGGATAACATGGCCTCCCAATCCAAGGACACCTCCCCTCCATCCTCCATCCGGAAAAGACACAGGTCCCCTAGCCAAGAGGCTGCTGGTAGGATCTCAGCCAAGGTAAAACCCAAAGCTGTTTCTGGGAAGACAACCTCCAAATTGGCTGAAAAACAGGCCAGCAGGAGACACCAGGCATTGGAAAAAGAGTTTTCAAAGGCTCAAAAACAGGCTAGGGCAGAGACTGCATAGACTGAGTCCACCTTTTTTGATTTGCCCCTCGGTCTCTCCTCTTTTGCCCAGGAAGTCTGGTCTCTGGTAGAGCCTTCTACTTCCTCTGGTCAGCCCGGTCTGGAATCTGACAGACATACATTCAGGTCTCCAACCACCCCATGGGCACAGCAAGCCCCAGAGGCCACCTTTATGCCCACGGCCGCGGGGCTCAGAGGAGAGGAGTCCAACCTTCCTCCCCTAAAGGATAGGCTACCTGGTGGCTCAGGTGGTGGAGAGGGCTCTCGCGGCCAGATCTCCACTGGTAACTAGGGTGGATTCTTTGCTTTCCCTTCCTCTATCTCATCCAGCTCATCAGAGTTCTCACAATCCTCCCTCCCCCTCCCATTCCTTGTATAGTGGGGTCTCATTAACCCTGAAGCAGGATCAGGCGATTGATGCCTCGTCGGAGGAGGAGGTGGCGGCCCAGGATCCGCCCCCGTTCGGCGGTCTATTTAATCCATCTCTCTTTTTACCTCTACTCCGCAATGCTAGTTCTGCAGCACATGTGGGTCCTGACCGGTCCTCCCCAGCATCAACTGCAACAGATTCAGAGGTGGACCCCGTTTTCGTAGAACCGGTAATCACGCAACACCATGATCTCTGTCCACCATTATTCCTCAATGCAGTTAAGAAACAATGCCTCCCCGGGCACCTTTCCTCTTCCAGGTCAGAACGATAAAAAGTTTTTTAGCGTGGCCTCAGATTTAGCAGAGGCACTGGACATGCCCACGGTTGATGAGCCCCTGACCTACCTCTTCTCCCCCACCACTATTTTAGGGGATATGTCTGAGGCCTTAAAAACGGAGGAACGCAAACCAGAACTGGCATTTAGAAGGACATACCAGGCGGCGGCGTGGTCTATTAAGGTTTCTACTTCCAGCCTCATTTTTTACTAGATCCTCCTTCATCTGACTTCGTCAGCTCCAGGCCAGGATTTCCCCGGACGATGTCCGCACACATCAGGACCTGAGCAAGTTAGTGGCCGCAACGGAATACGCTTCCAATGCGACTCTGCACGCTGCACGGTTTTCTTCCAGGTCCTTGGCGTCCAACGTGACAGCCCGTCACCTGCTATGGCTTAGACACTGGCAGGCAGACGCCAAGGCCAAGTGGCGCTTAGCGGCAGCCCCATACCAGGGTAGCAAATTATTCGGGAATGCCTTAGCCCCGTTTCTGACTGAGAACAAGGATAAGAAGAAAATCCTGGCCCACCTTACCAAACGGTCTGATAGGTGGACTACTCCGTATAACTGTAGACAGTTCTTTCGATCTGCCCCTATTCCTTCGACTATGCAACCTTCATGACCCTTCACTCCCAGGCAAGACCATCCGATAGATAGACCGGCCTCGAGACCCAGGCAACAGTTTCAGTCCAAACAAATCTTTCGTGGCGGGGGACGTCTATTCCGTAGGAAGTGACTCCTGAGTGGACTCTCCCATAGGGGGCAGGCTGTCCCTATTTGCTATTCAGTGGGAGGTCACCACCACAGACGCCTGGGTCCTGGACACAATTCAATATGGTCTATCCCTAGAATTCATTGCCAGTCCACCAAGACAGTTCATTTCTTGCCCCCAATCAAAAAACTCACAAAGCAAGGGTCTCATGCAGGAAGCCATCTGTCACTTATTAGAAATAAGGGCCATAGAACCGGTACCTCCGGCTCAGTGGGGTCGCGGATTTTACTCCATTCTTTTTGTGGTCCCCAAGACCTCGGGAGGATGGAGAGCAATCTTAGACCTAAAAGGCCTGAATTTTTATCTGGCATACCGAAGGTTCAAAATTCAAACACTTTAGTCTATCTTAGGCAGCATTCAAAAGGGGGACTTTCTAACATCTGTAGACCTCACAGAGGTATACTTACACATCCTCATCATTCCTGGCCACCGCCAGTTTCTCAGGTTCAGTTACATGGGGCATCATTATCAATACAGGGCACTCCCGTTCGGGCTGTCGTCGGCCCCAAGAGTGTTTTCCAAGGTCCTGGCGGTCCTAGCCACACACCTGAGGTTGATGCCGATTCAGGTGCAATGTTACCTGGATGACATCTTAATACAGTCGTCTTCTCCCCCGGGGGCTCAGTCAGACCTGAGACGGGTGATCGAGGTCACGGCTTTTCGGTCAACTTCAAGAAAAGTCAGACGGTACCATCGACCAGATTGCTCCACTTAGGAGCCATAATAGACACAATAGAATGTTGGGTGTATCTGTCCCAGAAACGCAGGGACAGCATACGGGACTTGGTTCTCAAGGTCTGTAGGGACAGGACTCTGTCACCTTCAAGTCTCTCCAGACTTCTGGTAAAAATAATATCTTGCATCTCGATCGTTCCCTGGGCCAGATTACACTCACGGACTCTCCAGTGGTTTCTGTTTCCCTACCAGAAGCAGAGTACCAGCACTTCTACCCGAGAGGTAAGGATTCCACCACAAATCCTGCGCTCACTCAGATGGTGGATCTCTCCTGCCATGACCAGAGGGTCTCTTTTCAAGGAGCCTGGTCGGCTCACAATCACGACAGACGCCAGCCTGTATGGCTGGGGAGCGCACCATCAGTCACAATGGGCCCAGGGACGTTGGTCTCAGTCAGACCTGAGGCATAATATCAATTGGCTGGAACTCAGGGCCATACATCTAGTCCTCCGTCACTTCCGCCACAGCATTGCGAGACAGCATGTGTTAGTCCTCACAGACAACGTGGCGGCAAAAGCCCATGCAAACCGGCAGGAGGGTACCTGATCCCATGCCCTCCTGGCCGAGGTCCAGCTGTTGGGTTCCTGGGCAGAGACCAACCTCGTCTCAATCAGGGCAGACCACATCTCGGGAGAGGCAAACACAAGAGCAGACTTTCTGAGCAGGTCAACCGTGGATCACTCGGAATGGCGTCTGCACCCAAATCTATTCAGGGAAATCACGCACAGATTCGGTCTCCCCATCATAGATCTGTTTGCCTCCCAGGCGAACACACAACTCCCACGATTCTTTTCGTGCTTCCCAACTCAAGGGGCAGAGAGAGTAGATGCCCTTCGGGTTCCATGGCCGGAAGGTCTCCTCTATGCCTTTCCCCCTCTCCCTCTTCTCCCAGCGGTTGTCCGCAAGCTTCTGCAAGAGAAAGCAGAAGTTCTCTTGATAGCGCCTTACTGGCCGCAGAGACTTTGGTTCGCCGACCTCGTCGGCCTTTCCCTATCACGCCCTTGGAAATTTCCTCCAGACCGGGTATCACTAACTCAGGGGGATCTGATTCACCCGGACCCTCAATGGTTCCAGTTAGCCGTATGGCACTTGAGCACCGGCTCCTATGCCGGGAGTCCTGTTCGCCAGGGCTCAATGCCATAATCCAGGCATCTCGTAGACCGGCTACCAACCGCATCTATGATGCCACTTGGCAGAATTTTTGCCGGTGGTGTTCCGTTAACCACCTGCCTTTATCGGAATTGACCATTCCAAATATTTTGTACTACTTACTTGAGGGTCTGAATAAGGGATTAATACCTAACACATTGTGCAGACAAGTGGCAGCCCTTTCTACCTTGATTACTTGTGACACTGTTAGTTCTCTGGGTCACCATCCCTTGATTCATTCTTTCCTCAAGGGTGCGACCAATACAAGGCCTGTTGTCCACAGGTATCCCTCGTGGGAATTGCCTCGGGTCCTTCAGGCTTTCACAAAAGCTCCTTTCGAACCCCTCAGTTCATGCGACATGAGATCCTTATCCATCAAGGTCGCCTTCTTGGTAGCCATCACTTCGGCCCAATGTATTTCTGAGATGGCTGCACTCTCAGTCAGGGATGATTTATGTATTTTTCACCAGGACCGTGTTACCCTTCATTTAAACCCCACCTTTGTTCCCAAAGTCAATTCTCTTCCATAGGGCTCAGGATATCGTTCTCCCTGGTTTCTGCCCTAATCCTTCCCATGATCTGGAACATCAATGACATTCCCTGGACGTACGCTGGGCTCTCCGTTATTATATCAAGCAGACGGCTCCCTTCCGCAGCTCTGAGGCACTTTTTGTCTCATTCCACCCTTCTTCAAAGGGTCGGAAGGTCTCGGCCTCCACAATCGGCTGGTGGATAAGAGCCTGCATTGTGGGGGTGTACCAGTCAGATTCCTTGCTGGTTCCACATCGTGTCACCACCCACTCCACGCATAGGGCAGCCACATCTGCGGCTTGGGCCACGCAAGCTTCCATTGAGGAGGTGTGTAGGGCGGTCACGTGGTCTTCCCTTTCGCTATTCATCCGGTATTACAAATTGGACAGGTACGCATCCGGCGAGGCCTCCTTTGACAAGGAGGGTCCTGCCTGTTGGTGGTGCCCCGTGACACGGTTCCAAACTTGCCCGCTTCCCTCCCATAAGGACAGTGGGCTTTGGTATGTCCCATTAGTGGATTATCTATCTCCAGTGCTGGAGAAGGGGTGTTGTCTTACCTGAACACCTTTTCTCAGCACCCACCCATTTACGTCCTTAGACCTAGGGTCAGTTTTGTGAGCCAACACGTCATGCTGTTAGTCAGTAGCTATGCCCTCGTCGAGACTGGGAAAACAGGCCCAGGACAGGCGTGGCAAGTTTGGCTGACTTGATCTGATTGGGCAGGAGGATTAAGTTAACCCATTAGTGGATTATCCATCTCCGTGCTGAAAAAAGGCGTTCAGGTAAGACAACGCCTCTTCTCAATTTTCACATCCTCCAGACATTACCTTACCAAATCATTTATCAGCACATCACCAAATATTTATTGAATTGGCTGAAGTGCAAATAAACCACAATGCCCTTTCCATAGACTTAAGGAACAAACTTAAGGAAGCTATCCAAGCAAAAATGAGGTAATGTTAGTCTGAAAATAGTTCTGCATAACCAATTCACATTAAACTTTATTATTTTATTGATTTCAGCGTTTTAACTAAATGATCTCTTTATCAGTCCTTCTAGAGTGTGTCAGAATCGGACTGACTGGTTTCTGCTTTGCACATTTCACAAAGAGATTGGTCCAGATGGAATCTTTTGCTTAAATTTATTATATTAGTGGGTCACAACTACCTTGGCTCTCTTTTTACATGTCTTCTCTTCCTTTGAATGCACATACCAAGTTCAAGAGCCTGAAAACTGTTTTTGAATTAATTGTTTGAGTTTCAGTAGCACAAAAAGGTTCTGGCCTTGGGAGGAGGGAGTATTAGGCCTTTTTTTTTTTCTGCCTCCTTAAGTTACTTACAAAGGCAAGTTATCTGTGGAACTCTCTCTCCCAAAGGACATCTCCCCATCCTACCAGATCAGATAGGGCGGGCATGCTCTTAGTCCCCTCCCTTAAACAATGCCATCTTATGGGAACTAGGAAAAGTGCCTTTCTTGTAGCATGTTTAGCCCCCTAGACATGGAGAATGATATTCAATAGTAGATTTTAACTGGGCAGATTCTTCTCCAGCATCATCACTGAGGCTTCATAAATGCTATGGCACAATTTGTATAAGGAGAAGAGAGAAAGGACCAAATTAATAGAAAAAAACTTCAAACTCTCTCCATAGAGGCAGGGGTAGAGACAAAGGTGCCATCAATAAACCATTAAGATACCTTCCTGTGATGTGAAGATGAATGTGAAGACGAATCTTAGCTGATTAAAAAAAGGTTACATTCTCTTGGCAAACATCTAGTACAGTAACAACTAATTTCAAAGGCCACTCCTTTTTGTGATGGGAGTAAGAGCCACAGCTATTTTTATCTCCTACAGATTCAACAGCTTTTCTTCTCAGGGAATATAGGGAGTAAATCTGCATGCAGTAAGATTTACTCTTATCTAGAATGCAAACTATGTATTGGAATTTTAATGGAGACACATTAGTATAGGGCTGTTGTTTCTGTAAACATACTTATTATCCAACTCCATACAGGAGGACTTCCGAACTAAAGTTGAAGATTACATTAAGCGCTATGCAAGATGATGATGGGAGATGGATAGCAAGGCCATGACCTGCACCTTGATGTTTTCCTAAAACTACCAACACCAAAAAAGAGGGGTTTTTTTGTCTTGTGTTCATGTTGTTCTAATGAAGAAAACAATCCTCTTTGTTAAATGAAAAGTTCATCTATACAGTAAGAAAATGATGTATGTTGGCTACAAAAAGCTGTTTAACTTTCAGCAATCTCTTTTTGAAATTGTATCATATATTCAGAAGTGAGATCTCCTCGATACTAAAGAAAAAGCCCTACTAAGATCATTTATTCATTTTAAAATGTTCTTAATAGCTAGTACGGAATATTTAAGTATGGCAATAAATAAATGTGGGCCAAAATTGAAATGACATGTCATGCATTATATTGAATACATATGTTAGCTCTGTCTGCTGTTGCTGTTAAAGTTGAAATTGCTGATACTAGTTCATTTTTTTATCTACTGTTTTAAATTTGCATTTACTGTGCAAAGCACTTACTGAAACCAAGGCTGAGTCTGAACACACATAAATACAGTGTATTTCTTTTTAAAAATAACTATTTTACATGCAAATGTAATGAAAGGTATAATAGTTTTTAAATACCTTTAGCTTCTGGTGTGGAGAATTGATATTTCAGGTTATTATAAAACTAACTTTAATTTTCTGGTACCAAAGCTTTAGAAGCTAATCTTTGAGTTCAAATTAAAGCTGATTGTAATGTAACAGTAACACTGTAAGAAGCCAAATTTTTCAGGATAAACATGGTAAAGAACTTTCAATATAACTAGCTCTATCTCATGTAAAGTATGTATGAATTGCAAAACCATTTGGGTTGAGGATACACTGTTTAGGTATATTTAAAAGCAGATGCTTTTATGTACTTCATATTTTATCTTAACTATTTTTCGATACAATGACCATTCTAAACAGTGAGAGTCGTACCCCTCAAATAATTTAAAATTAATTAAATTATTGCCAAAGTAGAGACGAATAAATGTTTGTTTAGTTTCATACACATTGTGTGCATAATATTTCTGCCTCAATTTTTTTCATATGGAAGAATCTAATTTATTAGGCCCTTCTGTAAGTTCTCAATGCAGTAAAACTTCAATTTAATGGTCTCATTAGGAGAAAGGTGTCTATAAAAGCAGGATGTCTGCTAATTCTGAATAGAATTTTATCTATGCATATTTTATGCATTTTTTAAAAAATGTAAAATTGGAATGAGATTTTATGCATGTTTGGAATGATGAATAGGATTTTATGGATGTCCAGATTTTCATCATAGTATCTGAAGTCTGAACGTGTATTAAATCAAAGATTTACTACATCATCGTACTTTAAACTTTGATAGTGAGTTTATTATAACTACACCTCAGTAAATTCTATCAGTCATGAATGAAGGAGAATACATACATGTCCCAGGATAATGTTGCAGGATCCAATCTGAATCGGTCAGCAGGACCAGAGGTTTAAGTCTTCTGAGTTTTCGGACTCATGTTGGAGCCCATTTTCAGGGAACTTCTTTCTAAGTGTGTGTACTGTTTTCTGTGTTGTGTTTGTTGTATGTGGCTTTGCAGATGTTTATTGGATATGTTGATGGCTTGCTATCAACCATCAAGCCAGCCATAAAACACCCCAATCAACATCTAAAAAGCCACATACAATAGACACCATATAAATATCACACACAGCACACCTTCTGCTGGAGAGAAGTTCCCTGAAGATGGGCTCAAGCACAAGCCCAAAAACTCAGAAGACAGAACCTTTGGTCCCGGTGACCAACCCAGATTGGATCCATCATTAATGTAATGATATTTAAAACAAACAAGAATTGGAATGAGAATTAATTAAATAAATGGATTAAATGTTCATTGCAATTAATGGTCCTTAGAAAACGCTTAATTTGTTCAAATAGAAGTTTGTTTCAAAATAAAAAGTATTTCTTTGAAATTTGAGTTACTCAGAGGTTTTGAGAGAAAAAAATATCTGTTGCCTATATTTGGGAAATTATTTACAAATATTCTGAGATAATAATATAGATAGAAAGGATTTGTTTCCAGTAGGCCAGTTTTCACAAGAATATTGTTCACATTTTGAAGAAATATAACCAAAATTACAAAACAAAAGAGTATTGTAAATTGACACAGAATTCAACACAGTTTTCTTCATTAACAATATAAAATTCTTAATACTCACATATAGCCATTTTTTCATTTCCCAATAAATGATTGAGCAATAAACTACTGTATAGAAAACTGTACAGAGAGAATTGCTGGGTAATGACAGAAGGATAGAGAAAACAATTGGGTCAGCTAACACAACTGAGAATTTGAGTCCATTGTTTTATGCTCACAATATTAAAGGTACTAGAGATCCTTAGGAGACTGGAACATCTGGGAGATAGTTTCATGCAACATCTGCATGCAGCTGGGAGGGTTGACTAGAACAGCTTTTCAACCAGTGGTACGGGTACCACCTGTGGTACATTGGCACCTGGCAGGTGGTACGTGACCATCCTAGAAAAGTGGTAGTGGGGGAGGGGAATGAGCTGAATTGGTGGCAGCACCGCACAAGTCTGAGCGAGAGATGGCTGGAGCTGCAGGGCTGTCAGGGCTCAGTGGAGGCGCCAGGATCAGCACCAGGCTCCAGCTGGAGCTAAGCACTGAACATGGTGCTTCTGCTGAGCCCAGAAGAAGCGCTGATCAGCTGGAATGTTGCAGCATCTCCAGGGTCTTGTGATTTACATTCAGATGCTTGGCAACTGATTCATATTTATGATGGTCACAATGTCCCAGGGTCATGTGAAGTGACCAAAACCTTCTGCAACCAGCCAGCAGACAGAATAAAAACCAAACCCCACCCCTGCTGCCAATCCTCAACCTTTTTTCAGTGCCATTGTAACTTCGAACAGTCACTAAGTGAACTGTTACAAGTCGAGGACTACCTGTACTTTTATCACTTTTTTCCTTTTTGGGAGGGGGGTCATCAAGTTTTTGACACCTTGCTAGGCGACTGGTGGTACTCAGATGTTGCCATATCCTAAAAGTGGTAAAATGGGTGAAAAGGTTGAAAAGCCCTGGACTAGAGCACAAGTAGCCTTTGGAAAAAGTGGTGGCCAATGCAGCTCAGAGTAACCGATGGACACTGGAAAGTACTAAAGGGGCATTGGAGACCAATACAAATCAGTCTGTGAAAGAATAGAGTATGGTAGTTTTCCAAACAATTCAAAGTTCTGTGGATGAATTGTTTGGATTGTGGTTCTGTTTATAAGCATTGTAATGTTAGTCCCTTAAAGCATTAATTTTGCATTCTTAATAAACTCAGTGGTTCTGGGTCTGGACCAGCATTTGAATGCAACCACTTTCATTAGAATTATTGGGATCCCCACTTGAATGGCTGAGACTGTAGTTCCTGTTTCTGAATGGACTGTGGATTGTGCAGTAAGGTTATCCTCTTTCCCCTCATACATACAGGCCGTTGTTTTGGAGCCAGAAGGGCAACTAAGCCATGGCGAGGAAAGGGGGAGAACTTGACAGCTGCAAAGTGAATAAAGACAAGCTTGGTGGTCTTTCTCTGCACTAGCTGCAAAAGACTTGAGTAAAGATTGTAAGATGAAAGTTGACTGATGCAACTGAGGGATGTGAATATAGTCTTTTGAGCAAACTGGGATCACCAGAGAACACTGAAAAAAAAATGGGCATACTGGAGCATTTATTAAGAGTCCTCCATGAAACTCCAGTATAGCAGCTGGGAATGCTGGAGCCTACTGTACTAGGTATTTCAGACTGCCAAACTGTAATGGAGCTCTAAAGGGACTGTGGGAAAGGAACTTGGCTGGGGGAGAGTAGGGGGATAGCTCTCAGATTATTTGAATTTCTTAGCATGTGTGAACTATCTTGTGCATGTGTTTTTTTTATCTATTCTAGCCATTTGTATTTCTGTAAAGTGTTGGAATAAAATCAATAATGAATCTGATTAATCACCATTATATGAATGAACTTAAAATTTCCTAACATACAGCCTCCAGATTTATGCCTTCTCCCAACTGGCTATGATGGCTAATGTACCTTTTTAAACTACGTGCCAAAAGAGCATTAGATTTTGACATTAAAGTCACCTTAAAATAAATGTTCACAAGATCAACATCTCAATGTATTTTTTTCTGTTTGTTGTGCACTGCTATATAATAGAGATGTCAATATGTGCTGCCTAAAAAGTTCATTAAATACCTTTGTAGAACTTTTAAATACCAGGGTAATTTTGACTTGAAACCTATACTACAATGCAGCATACCTTTGCAGGATAAAACGATGTCTTTTTTACTTGATACTCAGTTTCTGCTCAGCTCAGTTTCAAGAATCTTTTCACAAGTCTTTTATCCTATACCTATGCATTTCATATTTTCCCATGTAAAAACACTTTGCATCTGTTTCTGTCGAATTGCATTCCCTTATAATCACCTCATTTTTCCAAACTAGCACAACTGCTTTTTAAGTTTCATACACATGCCCTTCACCTCATCTCCCAAGACAATAATAATACCATCATAGGTCTTTTGGGAACAGTGTGGCACACGTCTAATTTTTCTATCTTGTTCTTTTGAAGTTACCCAAACAATTAGATATAATACGGCAAAACTTATTCTAGACAATTCTGTGCTGATTTATAATCGCCACATTGTTTTCAAGTTGAGTATGGGTTGACTGCTTTATAATCTGCTTTAGAATTTTCTGAGGATTTTTCCCCTTTTTAAAAATTGGAACACTTGCTCCCTTACAGTCACCTGGCGTTTCTCAAAGTCCACAAATGACATCATGAGCATCATGATGTATGCTTTGCTACTTTTGTATATGCACCATATTGCACAAATGTATATAAGGATGGAGCTTGAATCACAACATTGCAACATATTTCATATTTCTGATGAAACTCAGACCCTACAGTTGCTTCTGGATCACTCTTCAATCAGTTCATGAAGTTTCTATAAATTTCTAGATGCAATCTCGCTCCTTAATCCTCTTCAGAACTGCATGGTGGAACCTTCTGCAGAGCTGCAGGATTTAGAAAAATCAGCAAACTGCCCAGTTTACATTACTGGAAGATGCTTCTGCATTAAAAATTGGTTTTATTCATTTGTAATTAGCAGCTAATCAACTTTTCCTAAAGGATATCAACAAATGCTACTAAAAGGTTTAGAGATAAGTTCTATACTTAAGATATTAAGAGATAATAGTGGAAAATACTGTATAGCCAATTCATTATGGACCTTATTCTGTTAGTAGAATCACTACCCTAGGCGTCTATGGAGATTCTCAGTTATTCTGGTCACTGTTGTCCCAAAGCTGCTTTTTTCATGAGGCAACTCAACAACAAAAAGTCCAGTTGCCTCGTAAAAAAAGCACCTTTGGGAACATTACCCTAGGCAAGTGGTAGGGAACCTATGGCACTGGTGCCACAGGCAGCACTCGAAGCCCTCTCTGTGGGCACACGTGCCGTTGTCCCAGCCTTGCCTCCCCCCATGACCCCCTCACCAGCAGCCCCCCTGGAGGAGGGTCACCCCCCCAAGTGTGGCCCACGCGGAGCAGCACAGCCAAGGACATGGCAGCCAGGCAGCATAGACAAGACTGCCTTAACGCCCCATCGCGCACAGTTGACGCTGCAGAGCACGGGGAGAGGGCGTGGCCACCATGGTGCTGCTGGGCTCCCTGGGTGATCGGCAGGCCCTGGAGGTAGTGAGTGGCCCTGTGGGCAGGTGGGGTGGGGGCGGGGCAGGGGGTGGAGTAGGGGCGGGGCCAGTTTTTGGGCACTCGGTCTCTAAAAAGTTTGCCATCACTGCCCTAGGCAATTTTTTAAAAGGTATGTCATCTTTTCATAAAAAATAAAGGAAATGTCCAAAGTAGGTCTGCAACCACTGGGCTGCCGACTGCTACCGGTGTGCAGCCCTTTGGGAACCAGGCTGTGCAAGTGGCAGGCAAGCACATGAAACTTCGTTTGTGCATTCACACAGGAAACCATTCCCTCCCCATCACTGCCACCGCTGCTATCAGTCCGTGAAGCCAGAAAGGTTGGAAACCGCTGGTCTAAAGAATTCTGCATGATAGGTAATCAAAATTGTATTTAGTAAGGACAAACATAATTAAAATATGAAATAGTATACAACTTTTAAAACATTGGCTTGCCTTTATTTGCAACATCACATTCTTTATAAGAAATCATTTAACTGAATTCCAAATACAGAGATTAAATAATAAAAAAAACTTTTTTCTTTTTTTAAAAGTGAAGTTATTGCCTATTGACCCTGAAAAGAAGTAATCATGAATGAAGAGGAGAAAAATTGCTTATAAAGTTTTATTGGATGAAATCCATTTATAAGGTCACTTTTGCTTCCAAGACCATCTTCATCCATGATTTCAAAACTGAACATTTGCTCTGCAATGGCTTGTGGTTCCAGTGTTTTTTACATGAGAAGTTGATAAGGATATACTATAATAAGGATATACTAATTTCCAGAAAGAAAAAAAAATCAAATTTCTAGTATATTTTTTTAAAACATTTTCCTTTCAGTATTGTTTTCAAAATTCCACATCAAATTGAGGAGTTAAAGAGACATATAATGTGCTTATTGAATTGCTTACAGCTACAGTATTGAATCTGAGACAGCTGTTCATAATCACGCAGTTATCAGTTCAGAATCTGCATAACCAAATCTTCAAGATATTGGCATATGGTCAAATAGGTTCATGTACATGAACTGTGTTGTCTTCAGAAGTATGAAACAACCAAAGCATCCCAAACAGATATAGGTGTAAGCCTGGATGGCATGGTTGTCGATCAGTCCAATAGCCCCAGCAACAGTTACCATCTATTGCTGGGAGAGTAAAGCACTTCTATTGGCTTTCATCTTCTCTAGCCGTTTAACTAGATGGCCATTACTTACTTCAAGTTCTTCGGTTTTGTCTAATGCTGAACGAAGCTGAAAAAACATTTAAAAGAGAAATTTTATTCAAATTAAGGTATAGAAAATAGTAGCATGCCTCAACCTTCAG